GGGAGGGGGGGGGGGGGGGGGGGGGGGGGGGCGCGGGGAAGACAAAATATGGTACAACCTTATACTCAGTTAGAGCAGCACAGGCACAATGAAAATAAGTGTTTTCCAGGATTTGTTGAGAAACAAAATTACAAAGTTCCACTTAACTGTTCAAGCACATTAAATCAAAGATGTCATTATATGAGGGCTCAGCAACTTCTAATGATGCAATGACACTTATGGATAGGCTTAAGCCTATCAAAACTTAGTTTGTGATATACTTGTAATGTCTATTACCAGCAAATAAGCATAACTCTTACAATGCTGTAACCAGTTGTATTATTAGGATTACTTTTTTTAGAAAAAGTCTTTCATTAAGACCGCTTTAAACTGTCATCGGCATTAAGAAATCTTATGAGCTAATAAAGAGAGAGAGAGAAAGCTATGTCAAAGCACTTACCAAACTGACTAAGAACTGAGGACTGAGTGATGGGTGGTTTTAGATCCCAGGATGATGTGTTAGCTGTAGTAGTGGTGGCAGAGCTACTATTGTTTTGTTGACAGGTAAACTGACCCAATCCTGGAGATTTCAACTGGTCCAAGATTTGGGATCCAGTAGAGTTGGCCAGTTTAGAGGATCCAAGTTCTCCAAAGCCAGAACAAAGAACTGCAGACTACCAAAAGACAAAAAATAGGGGAAGGAGTGGAGTTAAGTATTTAATAAATAATTTGAACGTAACAATGCCTACAGCTCCTATGTGGCAGCAACTAAAACCTTTTCAGCCCTAGATTACTAACAAATGATGAATAAAAAATTCCGCAGTTGTAACATATGGCCAGATCTTCTCAGATTGTCAACACTACAACTTCCACCACTGTGATGGCAACAATACTGATTTACTTTAATCCATGCATCTCAAAATAGCATATATTTACTAATAGTTAAACTGATTTTCAGAGAATAAATATAAGTGCCCAATTTCAAGCCCTCACAATTGACTCAGAAATAGGCAGGTTTCCATAAAAAGCAGTCAGATAATGTGCTTGGAAATAACACATCATAGTTTTCTGGCATAGAACTCTTCACTACAAACAAATTATTTCATCCTAAATCAGCATGCAGTAAACACATCTGCTCTCTACTCTAAAATTAATACAAGCACTTCATGTAAACTGAGAAACAACAACTTAGCAAAACCAGAAAAGCAGTAATTTTTTTGTGCATGTGTGTAAAGGGAAGGAATGGAATTCTTAATTCTATTCCTTCAATATTTGCAACCTGAATTTTATAAATACTGAAATATCTCATGAAATGACCAGTCCTGGAAAAGTTGTTTAACCTGAAATATTTACTCATGAAGACCCTTTAGAAAGCATAAGATAATTTTACCAGACTTTGAGGAGAATAAGAATTTACAGCACTGGAGCTGCAGGTTCCTGATGCCATCTGGGTGCTGTGCTGAGAATTTGTGAAGACTAGGGCTTGGCCAAAGGTCTGCTGCTGGGGAGGCTCAAATGAGTTGCCTTCTGTCTCTTGGGTAGAAGTCACAGGCTTTTGAAGCAGTGTTACCAAATCAATGCTGTAAGAAAAAGCAAAATTTGGCTGGAATAAACATGATGATTAGGCTGCGCTGAAACTGAAGAAAGCACTAACAGTACTAAAGCTGCCATACCAGCAACAGAAGTAACTGTTTAATTAGGCTGATTAACAGCCTTTTCAAGTATTGCTTGTCTGCCATACAAAAAGAGGTAGAATAGAGGGTTTTGCCAGGAAGTGTATTCCATTAGCTGAAACCTTCCACTACAGCTAGAATACAAATTACCTTTGCACTCTTTTCAAACATTGTCAAATTTATAACATAATGTATCACATAAGTAACCTATATGATTAATATAACCAAGTAACCAGAGACAAGTCATAAAAGATACATTACGTTCAAGTGGGCCTTGCTGGCAAGCCCATTATATATATTGATAATCCACATTCCCTGCATATCATGCTGTCCCTTTAAAAAGACCAAGGGATCAAAGTCCTATTCTGTATAGGGTGGGTATGAGGACAGTAAAGACTGAAGTCGCACATGCAGTGATCGAGTGAATACGTGATGACACGGAAGTCACAAGAGCAGCAGAAATAAAAGCTAAGTTTCTCAGATAGCAGGCACATATCCAAAATTACTCCACCACACATACCTGAGCAGGATGAGAAACTTAAATTTTCTTATATCTAAGCATGGCTTACTAACCCCTACCACATGTTTAGCACAGGTTTAACCAAGGAAGAGCAAAGCACTCAGACAATAAAAGAAATCTACTCCAAATGTTCTGACTTAAGTTTATCCTAAATATACCATGGGCTTGGGCTGAAAAGCTGCTTCCAGCAATTTCATTAGCATAGATTTCTTAACGCCCAAACCTTTCTCATGGCAAGTTAAAAAAACCCAAACAAACAAAAAACCCCATCGCACCCAAACCAAACCAAACAAACAAAAAAACAAAAACCAAAACACCAGAATTTGAGTTGATGAACTGAAATATTTTCTAACATAATCTGAGGGACATCCACTGGAGGAATATTTGCATTACAACAATGAACACGTGAGCATATCACCTCTAAGAAGGAAAGGATTATAAACTGTAGACCAACTGACACCATGTCTACTCTCGATCACATCCATGCTGGAAGGACAGTTTTGGTGCAGTCTGGAGTACAGCAGTACAGCTGTATCAGGATGTTTGGGACCATTAGGCCACCTAGTTTTCAGATCTAGTTTTTGATCTCATGCTATCCAATTATTGAAGTCTTCATGACACTAAAGTTCTGTCCCAAACCACTCTCCTGGGACTTGAGGCTAATGCAGACAACTGATTCCACAACATCATCAGCCAGGCATTGGGTGAAGACAAAGGCAAGCAAAAGATGGCAGCAACTGCCACATTTTTGGTTCTCTGTCTGAACTCTGTATCACCAGTGAAGGCAAGTAACAGTGATGCTTACCAGGAGATTTCCCTTCTTGCCAACACAAGCTTTTCTGTTAATATATTTGTCAAAGCACTACATTCTGAACTTTCTGCATCTACAGGGCCAGGCTTCCATTTTCTGAACAGCAAAGCTTCTTTTCAACAGCAGAAAACTCTTCTTCCCAGCTACTTTTGTTCCTGCCTGTAAGCAGTCTGTGCAGAAGACAGGGTCTTCTCAGTATTATGCTTGTGGATTTGGTAAGTTTGGCTCCACTTCCACAGTCAATAATAGGTAACACAGGAACCCACAAAACCAGTGATTTGCAAGCAAGGCTTCTGCAATTTTGAAATTAGCTTGACCAATCTCTGACCAGGGCTGCCATATGTTTTATTCAACATTTTATATGTGCAAGCTAACATTGCTTCACCAAGCAGAAGGTTTTTAAGTTATAGGGAAAACCTGGAAAAGCAGCTTACCTTTGCCCAGGAGTCACGTGATTCTCAGCTGGAACAGAGGAAGCAGTGAAGACTTTTGTTTCAGAAAGCTGAAAAAGAGAGAGAGGGGAAAAAAGTGTATTTTAATCATACACATGCTCACACTTTACTGCTGTGACATCTGCAGAAATCCCATCTTGGTCAGGCACTTCCAAGATAAAAGCAAAGTCAAACTACCATTACAACCAGTTATGCTGGAAAACAGGGAGATGATTCGAGACAGTCAGCATGGCTTCACTAAAGGGCAAGTCCTGCCTCACCAACTTAGCAGCCTTCTATGATAGAGTGACTACAACAGTGGACAAGGGAAGAGCTATGGATGTCATCTATGTGGATTTCTGTAAGGCCTTTGACACGGACTCGCACAACATCCTTCTCTCTAAATTGACAATATAGATTTGATGGGTGGACTGTTCGGTGGATGAAGAATTGGTTGGATGGTCACATCCAAAGGATAGTGGTCAACGGTTCAATGTGCAGATGGAGATTGATGAGGGGTGGTGTCCCTCAGGGGTCCATACTGGGACCAGTACTGTTTAATAACTTCACCAATGCCATAGCCAGGGGGATTGAGTGCACCCTTGGTAAGTTTGCAGATAACACCAAGCTAAGTGGTGCAGTTGACATGCCTGAGAGACAGAATGCCATCCAGAGGAACCTGGACAAGCTTGAGAAGTGGTCCCATGTGAATGTCATGAGGTTCAACAAGGCCAAGTGCAAGGTCCTGCACGTGGGTTGATGCAACGCCTGGTATCAGTACAGGTTGGGGGATGAAGAGATTGAGAGCAGCCCTGCCGAGAAGGACTTGGGGGTACCAGTGGATGAAAAAGTTGACATGAGCCAGCAATGTGTGCTCACAGCCCAGAAGGCCAACCATACCCTGGGCTGCACCAGGAGAAGCACTGCCAGGAGGTCAAGGGAGGTGATTCTGCCCCTGTACTCCACTCTGATGAGACCCCCTGGAGTACTGCATCCAGCTCCGGAGTCCTCACTACGGGGAAGACGCGGACCTCTTGGGCCGGGTCCAGAGGAGGGCCACCAACATCATCAGAGGGATGGAACACCTCTCCGGTGAGGACAGGCTGAGAGAGCTGGGGTTCTCCAGACAACTGGAGAAGGGAAGGCTCCGCCGAGACCTCACTGCGGCCTTTCAATACTTAAAGGGGGCTCAGCAGAAAGACGGGGACAGACTTTTTCATGGGGCCTGTAGCGGTAGGACAGGGCGCAACGGCTCTACACTACAAGAGGCGAGATGCAGACTAGATACAAGGAAGACGTTTCCTACCATCGGGGCGCTGCAACACCGCAACGGCTGGCCCAGACAGGTGGTAGCTGCCCCATCCCTGCAAACATTCACAGTCAGGGGCTCTGAGCAACCTGATCTAGTTGAAGATGGCCCTATTCACTGCTGGAGGGTTGGACCAGATGACCTTTAAAGGTCCTTTTCAACCCAAACCATTCTATGATTCCGTGCTGCAGCTCTGCTTCGAAAGAAAAAAACATGTAGTCAAACTTCAGCAAAGTCTTCTACACAGATCAAGTACCAATTTAATTAAAGAGTTAGGAAATTTGATCTACTGAACACACACTATGGTACACCAAGGTAAGTACATCAGTTTGAGCAACTGAAAAATATACTAGTAGAATGTAATTAACATGACAGCTGGTACATCATCAGTGTAAAAATACCTTGTGCAGACATAATTTAGGACTCCACAGAGCAGCTCTGATAAATCTTGTTGCGGAAATCTAACATACTGCACCGTTCCCACTCATTTCATGTATCCCTGTGTTTTACATTTCATGTCACATCAGCAGCGGAGGCATCTTTGCACTCAGCTAGGGACAGTGAGCTACCATTCATGGTTCCTTTTTGGCATTTCTACTAGAGGCAGCAATAACTTTTTAAACCATTTGCTCTGTGAGCATGAGTTCGAAAACAATAATAAAGGGAGAACCATGTAATTGCTTATACTACTATAACCAGTCAGACCACCCACAGCAGAAAACTGTACTGCTTTCACCATGCTGTTACGATAAAGATAGATACTTGCACAGGTAGCTGGTGAGAGGGAGCTGGTTGGCTGGGATTTGGGGGGAAAAGGGGGTGATTTTGTTTTGTAGATGGGTTGTCTGTCTGCTCGTTTTTCTTTTTAATAGCTTTCCTTTTTTAAAAAATAGTTAAACAGCTACAGCTTCCTAGGGCTAACTCATTTGTATTGACAGGAATACTTGCAAACCAGAATACATCTTAAGCCAGTACAGGTTAGGTTGAACAAGATAAAGATATGCATGTATAATGGTTATATTTTAAATTAAATTTGCACAAAATCACCCTTAACTTCTTTGGTGTAGCTTTGTATTTAGACTAAAGAATAACTGACTTATTCAAACACCCCGAAATAAGCCCTTTAGAATGTGACATTTGAATACAGCTCTTCCAGGAAATTATGCATTTTTAATTGCATACATTGCTAGCAGCCCAGTTTAAAGGACATCACGGACATGAGCCAATTTCATCTGCCATCCCACAGGCAGCTCTACTGAAAGCACCTATATACCTGAACATGGTCATCTGATTGGGATTCTCCTATGAAACACTGGACACAGAAGGGCTGACTGGGAGCAATCACTTACCACTCAGAGGCAAAGTTGAAATGTTTCATGTAGTCTCCTAGCACCCACTTATGTGCAATACATTGTATCATGCAAAAATGGGTATCACAACAGTTCCTCCCTCCATTTCCTTCCCTTCCCTTGCCTGCCAATACAATGTGCTTTAGTCTCATCTTTCTGGAACACAACTCTGTCCTTTGCATAATGGAGCTAGCCCACAACTCTATGTACTGACCAAAATGAAGAAAGAAGATTCAGCTCAAGCATATTTCCAATTAAAGAGGCTAGTTTTCTATTGTTCAGGCCTTTCCCCACTGTACGTGTTATTTTAGAACAACGTGCACTGTACTTTTTGCAGTGTTACAAGACTCCTGCGTTATATGGCAAAAGGAGGCCAGCTAATGGCATGAGCAGCAACCTATCGTCTGCAGTCCCTTGGTTAAATATTAAATTCTTTGTAATGTCAACAGTTTCCTATGCTCACATAACCCAGGATAAGACTAACTGCGGCCAAAACACATGAATACTGAAAACTAAGAAAATCGAGAAGGCTGAGGATGTTTGCAACAACACAAAAGCATGCTTGACATATGAGAGAGGAAGCGTTCTCTTCAAGTGAATCAGCAAGCAAAACAAAAGTCTCCAGCTACCAGCTTGGCCACATTGACGTTTATACTACAACCTGTGGCAAACTCATGCCACAAGCTCCGATCAAGCACCTAATTCAGAAGTCTGCTGGGATTATGGCATTTGTCAAAGCACATAATTCATGCAGCAGCAGCTGAAAAGTTTTGTTATGCAGATGTATTTAGTGTTTTTTAGAAGTAGCTGTATCGGCTCCTAAGTTATTTACCCTCACTGTACACTACACTGGCTCACTGAGGCTCTGGCATTTTCCCAGAACTGAATGAATGGTCATGAACCATTTGCAAACATCAGCCTCACAAGGATATTTCCTCCATCTGCAGTGAAACGCCTGTGCTTTTCAGCTCCTGTTCCTATGATAAAAATAATTCTCCAATCACCAAACAGACAATCATAGAATGGTTTGGGTTGGAAGGGACCTTAAACACCATCTAGTTCCACCCCCCTGCCATGGGCAGGGACACCTTCCACTAGACCGTGTTGCTCAAAGCCCCATCCAACCTGGCCTTGAACACTTCCAGGGACTGGGCATCCACAGCTTCTCTGGGCAACTTGTTCCAGTGCCTCACCACCCTCACAGTGAAGAATTTCTTCCTTACATCTAATCTACATCTACCCTCTTTCAGTTTAAAGCCATTACCCCTCGTCCTTTCAAACATATTTAACAACTAGCTACCAGCTCCTATGGCCAGTTGATATGTGACGAGAAAGGAAAATATACTCCAGGATCCTCATAAAAACTCAACATCAACAAATCAGAAATAAGAAAAACTTATTACTGCTTTAATATGATGTACTGAAGTTAAAGAAAATAAAACAAGTTCTCATGCTGCTTTCTGAAAAAGGAAACACTCCCACTAAAATACACTTTTTTTCCTTTTTTTTTTTTAAGTGTTGCTGTTGTTTCAAATAAACACACTAAGACTGCCAATACTGTACAGAAAATGTTTGCCTTCATCCACTTTCCAGCAATTCATATGTATTCTATTTCTCCCCTTCTGATAGTTTCTGTAGTTAAACTTTGTTTTCTTTAGCCAGGAGAATATGATCACAACTTTAACAGGAAAACCCAGAGCCACCTACAGTACCTCAACATTTGTCTGGTCCTTCACTGTCCATGCCCTGAATATCACTTTAACAAAATACAACCTCCTATTTTCACCGCAACTAGTTTCCACTCCATTTAGGAGCATGCTGACAACCTACGATACTTGTTCAATACTTACTACTAAAGATAAATACCAGAAAGGACTATTAGATCAAAAAATCTAATCCTTCCCAGCTCACAAACATTAAATTTCACTCATCTGCTTATAACTTGCAACTGACCAGACAACACCACATTTAAACAAAAACAGTCTTCAGAAATACACCTGGTCTTTATCTGCAGACAGCAAATACATCAGCTTCCTCAGTTGTTTTAATCCTTAGTCATGCTGCTAGAATTGTTTGTTTATTATACATTTAAATGCATGGCTCCATTTTCCAGCCACAGATTTATATTATGGCTTGTCTGCTAGACTAAAAACAAAGACCATTATATGCTAATAAAGTTACCTTTTCAGATTTGGTAAACTAAAAATCTCACTCTCAAGGACCTCTTCTATCAGTAAATGATTTTCAGCTATTTTCCACAATCTTTGTTTTGTAAAAGCAGTAAGTAATTTGATGCACTGCTTCAGAATCATGTTCAGAAGAGTCCACATAAAGAAATATAAATCAAGAATGATTAAGAGACAGGGAAGAGTGCCTACAAGCAAAAAGACTACAATGGCTTTTTTTGTGCCACAGCATCAGCCCTTTAGGCAAGCATGCTGAGCTGTTCTTTTTTCATCATAGATTACAATCCTGAAAAATTTCCAGTTGCTGCTTTCCAGAAGACAGCCCCTGTTCTGGAGGTGTGCCTTTATTCCTATAAAACAAATGGGCACTTGGCTATATTAAAACATCTTTCATTTGAACAGGTCAAATCTAGCAGAGGTTCAGATTTCTCTGCATGACTGGTTTATTCTTAAATACCATTCCAATAGTTTTTGGATTTCCCATACATTTTATTAAGCAGTGATTTTATTTTTGCTTCCAAATCATTGATAAAGACACTAGATGGCATTTGGCCTAGGACTGGATTCCTTTATAGTCCTCCCAGAAATGCCCACGTTGAGCAAGGGTCCTCCTGCAAAAGATCTAATTGCCAAAATTTGCAAGGTAGGTTTTAAACCACTTAAATGTGTTTCATGATAGCATGTAATTATTTTTAGAACAAAAGTCGTAGAACAAATCTCTTACAAGGACATACTCTATCTTCACAGTTAACTCATAATTGACTTAAAGACCAAGATCAGATTTATTTGAAGTGGATCTATCTTCCATAAAACTATGCTGAATGGCACAAGTTGTATTCTTATGCTTCTATGTTTTTTTAAATCAGATAAATCAATTTTTCCTTTATTTTTCCCCCAGGCATGTTTTGGGCTCACCATTTCATTCAATCTGTCTGAACATCAGCACATGAACAACTTTCTCCTAGGTTACTGGGATTTTTCCAGGATGCTAAAATTAATAAAAATTAACAAAAGGCTAGAGATTTCATCTGCTGTTCTTTCAAAATTCAGGTGCAAATTACTCAGTTTTAATAATTAATTTTAAAAAATTCTATCCCTCATCAGCATTGCTCACCACCCCCCTCCCATGCTACAAATGTTGTATTGTATTAGTTTCAAACAGGGGTGAGAAACAAGGCCAGAAATTTTCACTATCCTTAGCCCTTAGTCCACCTCTAGCATACACTGCAGAAATACAGGACAGGTTTAAAAAAGATGCCAGCTTTTGGCAGTAACTGACAGAGATAACCTAGGAATTTTAGTTTCTTTTAATTTTCTCGAAAGACAGCCCTCTCATTAGATAAGGACAGAGTTTTCCTATCTATTATGCAAAACATTCACATATTTCTATGGATAACACTGACATGCACCCTACAGGAGGAGGCAAAAGGGATGACTTCCAAGACAATCTCTTACTCTTCTAAAAATAAACATAGATAACATAATGGATATTCCTATAAAACATGAAAAACTTCTCAAAAGCTAAGTTTTCTTTTCCATACTTCTTGCTACCTCATTTGTTTTCTGAACTACTTAAGCTTTAATACAATAACTGAAAACTTAAAATCACAAATTCAATTTTCACACATGATGACTACAAATGCCAAGTATTTGGAGACATGAAGACACCTTTTGCCTGATAAAGAAAGAGAACCAAAATTGTTGTAGTACTTTAGACAACACATCATGATGAAGCAACCGGAATGAAGCAATTAAGCGCTAACTTCAGCATACTACTAGCTCCTTTTTTCAATATTATGAAGTGGACGAAGTGGAACAATTATGCAGATTTCAAACAAAAAGCATCAAATGAGTAGTCTAAAGTTGTTTAGTAAGCTTCAGCACTTAACTACATAAAAGTCTTGTGATGTCTTTAAATCCCTACACAATAGTGGGGGAAGTAAGCAGTTAACACCCATCAGCACTGAGCAGCAGAGAACTATAATTCACAAATAGTTAATTTGGGATAAAACTTAAAATTTTATTATCGATGTATTGTCCACCCAGCAAAATAAACTAATATTTCTTGATTCAATTTTGTTTAAAAAATAAGCTTATCTAAACATACATATTTTAAACAGGAATTACAGCAAGAAACACAATAAGAAATATCATTGCACGCAGACAGCAAAGTATTACTTCAAACATTTAATTTTTGAAGACAACACAGAAAATCTGAAAAGGGTAAATAATCAATCGGTCTATCCAACAAGGTACACTTACATCTTCATTCCAGTCTTCTGCTGTCCATTCTTCTATTGAGTTTTTCCATGCTCCTATTGTAATTTGGGGAAGGAAAGAAAACAGTTACAAGCTAAAAGCACAATGTCGCATTTCAACCATTCTGCTTTATAAGCAATCCTGTTTCCATTATTAGTGGAACACGACGCGAGGAGATGGTGGTTGGAAACATGGGAAGGTCTAGAAAACCAGTCTGCAGATTTAAAATTTTGGGAAGGTTCCACACCCTCCCACCCCCTTTAATTTCTGATTTCAGGAATTTCTTAGCCACTACTGTATAAAACACAATTTGCACAAACATGTCTGCAAACAGGGATTAATCCCAAATATTAGAAGAACTTGCTCCTATGCCCCCAACAACAGTGAGAGGCTACTCAGCCCTCCCACAGGACCTCCCAGTTTCATGCACAAATTCATACAGAGCCTGAACAAAACAAAACCACACCACCTGCTCCGACATCCATAATACTACTTTCAACAAATTCAAATCCCAGACCCAAGTTATGCCTCTGGAGGCTCCTTTCCAACCTGTTAACTCTCTCCTCAGGGCAGAATAACCCCAATCCATTCCCCTCATAGAGCAATTTTATTTTAAAACATATGTAATTCATATAAGGGCAGCAGAAGAGACAATAAGCTTCCACTGTAGCTGCAAAACACTCCTTCCTGTCACTTGTGGCAGAGTTTATCTGGCAAACACTGGAGCACAGCGTGCAGTCCACAGCATGCAGCAATGGCAAAACTACAGGAAACGATCCTACGGATGCAAAAACCTGATCCCTTCCACAGGAAACAGCAGGCACAGACATGCAAGAACAATAAATGGACCTTAGCCCACCAGTGTAAGCATAGGGAAGGTTATCCCAGCAACAACCAGAGCCTTCATTTAGTAACCATGAGTGAAGAAAACACCAGCAGTAAAGTTCCTGCTACCATCACCTTTAATCAAGTACAAAAGCAAAAGAACTAGTGCTTTAACCATCTCCTTTTACTTAACCAGGAACCATGTGTCTCAGAGGAGACACATTCATCCAGAAACAAGCCCCCTGAAGACAGCATCAAATCCACGTTTGTACTAATGCCATCACTACATTAGTGCATTCTTTTATACACCTTTATAAAGCAGCGTCTTGGGCAGAGGAGGGTGGAATGGCACTAATCCAGTGAGGTGAACAGGCCTACCACAAAGATATACACACAGTGGGGAGAAGAGAGGGGGTTTATACCTTGGAATCCAAAATTATTTGGCAGGTCCTGAGCAAGGTAATATCCATTCTGTGTTGGCTCTGTGGAGCAATATAGAGTTGCCTGAAACACCTCGTGCTTACATTTTACCAAACAGCCCCTAACCAAGAGGTTTCTACATGCTGCAAAATAACTAATAATCATATCTGAGCACAGCAAAATTACTACAATGCCTCAAATTTCTAGATTAATTCACACATTTTTGGAAAGGAGGAAAAGCCCAATGAGCAGCAGTTTTTAGAGAAACAGTTGATTTCCTTTCCCTTCCCCTGACCAGCACAGGATCTCTTCTTCTGGTTATTTCTTCTTTAAAGAAATACCTCCTGGTATTTGTCCTGCTTGTATTTGTCTCCCATGAGTCAGAGCAAGGCCTGCGTCTGTAGAAGACAAAACTCATGCTGGTGCCAGCACTCTCACAACGGAGCTTGGAGTTCGCTAAAACAAACACGAAAAGAGCTCGGAGAAATCAAGCTCAACTCTTGAGCATCCCCCACCACCTTTGGGAGGCTGAATCTGTTTGGAATAATACTTGGGACATTTTCCTGACATTCAGTTTAAATGTTTACCTGCTGCTCCTACTTATGAACATGGATCTGTGCATTTACTCTTTTTAACTACTGAACATCACCCTTCACACCCCTCTATTAGTTTACCCAAGTTGCTAAGTTTATTATTGTCACTTATTAACACTCTACCTTCCCAACTCAATCCTTCCAGCCTCAGTTATTTCACTGGTCTTCTCTGCATTAAATCCAGCTTGCTAATGCCTTCCTCCTATTGATGGGATTCTAAGTCTGATCTTGCCACAAGGGCGTCAATTTCCTTTCAGTCCAAAATCCACCTTGGCATTATTGCAACTCCATATAACCTCCTCCCAACCTTTACCGCATGCCTTGCAAAGCATCACAATTTAAGAGATCTCTGTTTTCCACATAAATTATGCTTTCTGTTTTCAAGGATCCTTGTCATAGCAACTTCAACCTAGACGGCTATCTGTGACTCTTTGCTGTTTCCCTTTATAATAAGTTCAGTTTTAGAAAGTTATAAAGCCCATAAAAAGTGTACGATATGTTTTCATCAAGTCTTCAGCTATTTTCCTCCTATTCTTCACCTCCTGTCACACTATTTAATTTTTTTTCCTTTTTTTTTGAATAATCAGTCATAGATATTAGCCCCAAAATAATTTTATTTTGGCCTATCCCAAACTTAGGTACTAATCCTTTCCTTCTGGATTACATTCACATTCTAGAATGACCTCAAGGTTTCCTTAAAATGTTTCTTCTAACTTTTACAGCAGTCCTAAAAAAAAAAACAAACCAACCAACCAAAAAAACCACTTCCTCGTAACTTCCAAGCTACACAATTCCCTTTTTCCCCCTTGACAGTTACACTATAATTTCTTTTTTCTTTCTTGTCGTTCTTCAGGGTCACGTAAGGCTGCTCATAACTAAACGAAGGAAGGTTTTCTGTGAAACTCATGAAACTCTAACAAAGTAGAGCTAGCAATAAATTATCAGAATACAATACCATTTTTTAACCTACTTTGAGAAGTGACCACCTCCAACTGCTGTGATTTGTCACTCAGGATCTCCCACTGCCTTGTATGTCATAAAAAAGGCAAGAGATTGAACACTCAGCATGCCCTTAAGAAAATATTAATCACACTGTTCAAGTTTATTCCCTTTTGGATGAGGATTAGTTATTTCGTTTCTTCTCACCTGTCCCTTCTCTTTGCCTTTCAGTTATACATTACTTCTATAAAAATTAGGATGCAGGAAAACAGATGCCAAATTATTTGGAATACAATTACACTTAAATGTTAAGAATCATTAAAGATTTGCCCTTAACTCTCTTCTTATTTCAACCAACAACACCAAATTTTACCTCCACAGAACCAGCTAGCTTTTCTATCAGATTACATGATGGTGCACCTTTCATTCAGGCTACAGTGATTCTTCTGGCATCTGCAGCAATTCAGGACAAGAGGTTCTATCTAGAGCGCTTTCAGAGCTCATATGGGGGCAACTACATTTTTGAACAAATAGTGTATTTCTTTTTAATTGAAAACGTTGATGTTGATCATTTCCCAGCACCGGCTTAAAGAGGAAATACTGAGTAAATAGTCAGAACTCCACAGAGAGCTTGTATTTGCACGATGTCTTCGGAAAACATTTTGATAAGCAAATTGGTTTTGTTTCTCCAGGTAGTTGCCCAGTTATCACCTTTTTAATGTAACTGCAGATGAAATACACTAATTTTGCAAGTAGCTAGTACGAGCTAATTTTGTTTTTTCTTTTTAGATGAAAGAAGAAATGGGACTGGGTAATGAGGAATAAAGAGAGGGACTTCCATCCTGCCCTTTCACTGTGTACGCTCTTATCTGACATCCTTCATTAGCCTACTGCAGGCTTTATGGATTTCCATACAGGTAAATCACCCTCATTCACATCTTCAGTAACTCCACATTGGTAACTTATTTATTACTGGGACTGTTGATTTGTAACTAACACAACCGCACTGTAAATTAAGGAAAAAAACCCCAACAACTGAAAACTAATATTTGTGATGAAAAAGCTAAATCACCAGCTCAACTTTGTAGGACCTGCTTCCAGCCCCATACCTTGCCTGCCACTCTTTCCCCCCACCGCTGCTTCCATCTCCCTTCCCAGCACTCTCTCTTCTGCTTTAAAACTACCACCACAGCTGCAGCCTCCTCTCAAGATGCTTTCTTTCACAAGGTTGAAAGTGCTTCCCACTTGGATAAAGCTAAATGATTCAATTTTAAAGCCTCCTCTTTTTAAAAAGATATCTTCTTTTTGGCTCAGGGACTTATTTCAGACATTTCTACAGCTTGTCTAAAGAAGAAACACTGTCAAATAAAACACTCTTTCTATAGTCATATATAGAGAAACATTTTTGTCAGTTATGGTGCCTTTCCCATTTGCACTGAAAGTAAATTAAGATTAGGAGCAAAAAGGTACTTAGCACGCAAAAAGAACATTCACATTTAACTAGTTTACTTTAAATTTCCACCAACCAAATGATTTTGCAGGAACTCCCCACATTGACACTCACTCATTGATACCCCTAAAAACCATTAATCTGATGAGGGCAGGGAAAATTCCCAAATGCCTTCTCACATCTTCTTCTCCATACCATGCCCCTCAACTTCCCATACATGCCTTAAGTTGCATCACTGAAGTTCAGTGCAGTTCTCAGTGACATGCGCACAGCCTAACAGCACAAACACACTTGGCATCCAAAAAACATTCCACATGTCAAGTAGTACGCTTTGAACTTCCACCAATTTGCTCAGCAGCAAAACCCTCATGTAGACACATTCATAATCTTACGGGGATCTTTTTACACACACCAAGCTACTCTTATTCCTAAGCAGAATTCTTCCATTACTGAAGACTGAGGAGATGCCTACAAGAAGGAACAGAGGTTGCCATAAGGGGAGGCACATGAAGGCTACCCAGAGTTAGCAGGGAGGGTCACAAAACATTCAAGCTGACTTGGAAAGTGGAGCACAAGTCAAAGTCATTCATAAGTCACAACCTTACAGTTGCATTCATTAATAACTAAGCAGTGAATTTTCTGCCTCTGGTCCAGTCTCCTCATGCCTTTCTTGTATATCTTTCTTTAGTTAGTCAACCTTCTGTATTCCTTCTGCAATACTTGTGACAACATACCCTACCCTCTGCTACCATATAGCAAACAACAGTATCAGTATTCCTAGGGGAATTTTCAAGTCATTAGGTGTCCTTCTAACTCATTATTTGATAAACTTATTTGAAAAACTAACATGAGTAAAAGTAAAAGGTGCATTTCTGTTTGCGCTATAGCACCAAGTAATTTCAAAAGTAACACCTTGGAAAGACGCCAGATTTGGCAAAAGAGCTCCTTTTCAATAATCATTCATATACTCAGGGCCGCTCTCCCACACTGGACTAGAAGGCACTCAGAGTGACAAGACAGCTGCCTAACAAGCCCTCCTAAACTCTAAGCTTGTTATTGCCTTCTCTGGTTAAGTGGAAAATGGCTTGTATGAAGTTCAGAAAGCTGCATCTCAAGCAGCTCACAGCAGAGCTCAATGGAGCACACCGTGGCCTCCAGTATCAGTCTTTTCCTTCCACACTTGACACAGAGGCTGATGAAAAATCATCTGAGTAGGCTTCAGCAATTAAGAGATCAGAAGAGTTACCTTTGCTGGGGTTAAAAAAACAAAACTCTCCTATCACTCAGTGGTTCTCAAGTGTGGACAATAACATACATTAATTTCTCCATCCTGACACAGGGTTTCCTCTGTCTTCATCTCCTGTTACAGCATATGGGAATCAGCAAGGTATCCTGTTTTCCCAATCACAGACAAGCAGGTCACATTCTTCTTTTCTGAACCACCATGAGACCACTTCTTAAGTGGTTCCTTTCCAAACTATGTCTGTCTCTTGCCTTTAGCCAGGAGAGCATACTTCACACTTGAAACTTCATACAGAAACACATAGCTGCCTCTGTCTTCAGACAGGCAGACTGCTTTTTGGCTTCCATTCAAGTGCCCACTCGTGCTTTAGCTAATAATTCTTCTCTTCAAAGGTGGCAGATCTTGGAACTCTCCTCTATCCCAGAGACTCACATCCTTACATTCCTGCATTGTACAGGTGGGGCTTCCAAAGCCATCCCAGTCTTACTGAGTGAATTCATGTTTGTGAACAGTTTTTCTTTTCTTTTTCTTTTCCTACTTAGATATTCACACCCTATTTCCCGATGCCTGTGGACCAATCACTTCAGTAGGACTTTAATTCCTTAACTATATTAGGGGAGCTCTTAAGCAGTACTTAAGATATCTAAACAGTTCTTCACATACAAGGTTCTTCCAATAACTCTTCAAATCATTTGTCTCTCAAAGGATTGTTAGTACTAAAACAAAAAAATTGCAAATTGCTTTCCCTTCATTCTAACCAGATAGTTACTCAGGCTACACAGCATGTGCTCTGCACATTAGTAGCAGTTAAGCTATAAAAATGAACTAGCGTCTGTGTCATGTGACATGTATTCACATTTTCAGAACTTAACTGAACACTAACAGAATGGTTATTTTAACTGCCAATTTGCTACTGGTCTTCCTTCATTCCAATCGTTCCACTTCTTGAAGCATCTTACCAGTTCCATCATCTGCATCATTCTGACCAGTCTCCCAAATCTCTGATTTTGTCCCAAAGCCATGAGTGGCAGAAGACTCCATATAGTCTGCAGGGTTAAATGTCCTAGAGTTTTAAAAGTTAAGAAATGGAAGAGAACACATGGGTCATTCAACGAACACAAGTGTCATCATTTTTAGCTGAAGTTGTATTATATTTAGCAACTCGATTTCCACATAATTTATCTTGATAGTTTTGGTCTCAAAAGAAATTTTTCCTCTATGAGCAGACACAGATAGAACAGGGAGAAAAGAGAAAAGAAGAGGAGAAGAAAGGGAGGAGACTGGAAAAAAAATAATTACTGTAGCGAAACTGAACCAAAACAGTTCCTGAAAAAGCAGTTAACAGCATAGCTACTCCTCCCAGTCTTATAAAGCATTAGTTTATATGGACAACGATAAGCCCCTCTCAGCTGATAGTTTCTCAGCAGGTGGCTGACTGATGAGAAACCAGTATCATGTCCTTTCAGAGCACCAGACCTGCGCAGGACAGGAGTCAGAACATCAGTAAGACTATTTCAGAATGCACACCTGACACCGATGCCAAAACACACAGATGCAGCAAAAGGTGAAAAAGGATTTTTGAAGAAAAAACACTTTTCACTTCATCTCCAGGTACGAACAAGAAGGATTATTAGAGGACTAGAATGAGCCTTCTGTTCATCATGACATCACTGACATTGCACCAAATGCCATTAAAGGCAAACACTGAGTGAATGTAGTGGAGGCTACACTTCTATGAAGCAAGTTATTCCAACAAAACTGAGAACAAACTTTAGAGCTGCTGCGTAACTTCTGTTGATTCTGGTTTAGGATCCATGTATGTCCAAACAGCTAAAGCGTGAAACCTTAAAAACAGGAGAAAGTTTATAATTGCTAGACTTTCTGGGTTTATATAGAACTTGTATGTTCTACACTACACTGAAACAAATCTATTTTTAAATTGACCTAGGACTATCCACACCACACAGAACTTTCAGCCTCCAAGGCACTATGTGGCTGCTACTGATAGGTACAAAGGGGTTATCGAAATTTGAGATATTAACACTGAGTGAACACACATTAGGTTTGTATAGATGTGTCTAGTTAGAAATACTGGTTTAAAACAAAAATAATCCATTAATCATCTAACAGATTTGTGAATTTTTATATCGATATTGGTTTATCAAACATACAGCAATATTAATACATACAGTGGCAATATTGTCAATTAATATTGCCATTGAGTTTGATCCTTGCCAAAATCTGTGCTCTGCATGTTTCTTACCCCATGCCTTGGGCTGAAAACCTCCCCGCTCCTCTCCCTCTGCCACGTCCAAACCCTAGGAGAGAAAACACCATTTAACAGCAACAGCAGAGGAGCCGCCAGTCACTAGTCTGTCACATTAGAAAATACTATGGTTGAAGAATAAAACTACCATAGTTAAAATTAAGTATTATTTACTTCCCAAATTTCGTCACAGGAGAATTTGTTTCCCTAACACACGCAAGTAAGCCACAGTTCATCTAAGACTGCGCGTTTCAGTAGGACTTGCAATTCTTTACTCTCTTTTCTGTATCCAGTGAAGTAGCTCCAAATGCCAAGAAAAGGACTTACCTAAAGACGCATTTCAAATGAGACTGCTACTGCCAAATCACTAGACATTGTTCAAATTTTGTATCTACTTTCTCACTCTTCCCTAAGATGCTCTAGAATCCCAGCCTCCCTGTGTACCCTGATCTTTGAAGAAATTCCGTGTCACTCCTTGCCTGTGAGGAGAAAGTTTGAATATTCCACTTGTTTCCTTCTTTGACTCAGCCCACCTTTCCACCCCTACCTCCCTGTGCTTTTGTCAACCTGCAACCACATAGTCTTTCTGCTTCCCCCTTAATCGTAGTTACTGACATGAAAATTACCCAATTCAAATTACTCAAACAACTTCCTTGTTATCACCCACAAGAATATTCGTTTCTCTCTTAACAAAAACAAATATTTGTTGCCTCCAATTTTGGTTACCAGCCTCAGTTTACAAGCTTCATGATACAGTGAATGGCTTTATTTTTGCATATTGCACAGTGCCAACAGGGCATTTTTTAATTACTTAACCATCCATAAAGCACATATCTACATAAACTGTTAGAAACTATTTCTTACATGCAGCACACTTCTACACAGATTTTTTTTTTTCTTCCCTCTTTTTACGACCTCAGTATCTGAGGCTTTTTCAGTTTGTTGGGTTTTTTGAGGAAAACTATGAGTATTATTTTGTATTACAAGAACAGGAGGAGGTCAAGAGCTGCAGACTGAGAACAAAGCAGTGTTTATTTTAACAAGAAAATTATGTGGTAATTATAAGTCACCAAGCAACTGCAGGTTTACCAGAGCACAAAAGTTATAATCCTAAGTCACCAACACAATGGTTGTCTAAACATCAGAATTACCCATGACACGCTGTTCGAATCTGGATCAAAATTACCCCTTATTTTCAGGGGACAACCTAAACTGAATAAGAACAGTAACTCCAGGGCATGGTAAAAACAGATTAGGAAGTTCCTATTTTAATTACTTTGCTTTCCCTCCCCTTACCACTCGTTCCTCCCCTTACCACTCGTTCACTGTCCAAGTGTTAAAAGATATTTCTGGGCCTCTAAATGTCTACTACCTACATTTTCAGGGACTTCTCAGAAGCATCAAAATAGCAGGATAGCTTTACCCACATTTTGATAAAAGAGTTTACCCATATCCTATACAAGGTGGCAACGGCTAGCTACAGAGGAACCATGGAAACCTGCAGAGGAAGGATTCCCAGACAGCAACACAGTATTTTGGCAGGACAAGAACACAGAAGAATTAAGGTCTGATGCTAGGCCAGATCTTACATCTATCTCTACATTTTCCCCTTTTTGCCCTCTTTTCACAAACAGTTGGAGAGAAGACACACAGAGGTTAGGAAAGAGGTAACAACAGCTGCAACCTGGCAATTGCCATCCCTCTCCACCAAGCCCACATGTGAAGTCATGCTCTTTGCTCTGCCATATACAACAGTACCCCAGACCCCACTGTACCCAACTGATTGTAACTCGGCCTCTAAACTTACTTGCTCAGCCTACCTATTCTACTGCTCTGCTCTCCTTCACCCACCTAAAATCCCCAATCTGGGAAGCTGATCCATGGCATAACAAGACCACAGCTCTCAGAGGCACAGAAGTCAGTGCGCTCTGGATTATGTTTCTGCCCAGAAAATAATTTTTTAAGAGCAGAACCAGCTAAACAAGTTTACTTGGGGCCATCTGTGTAATAAATTTACTTCCTACAGCTATCAATACAGTATTAAACACCATTTACGAATGATGCATAGAAGAGAGATCAACAGATTTTTTACAAGTTCAGCTACAAGAACAATTGGGAGCTGTGAATCACAGAAACAGTCAAGCAGAAATATTCTTCAGTGAGGTAGACATTAGGTACAGAGAGATTAACTGGAATAGCTAGCATGAAAGTACAAACAGATTTTAGAAGAGAAGGTAAGTCTCCCCAGCCTTCCAAGTGCAGAAGCCCGAAAGAATAAACATAGCATATTAAGCAGATGATGAAGTTTTGCAAGCAAGGCACATGTAACATGCCATACCAGCATGGGCACAATAAATTACTTGCTGAAAACAGCAATAAGATTCTCTAACAATTTTAGAAATTGCTAGAAAGAAATAATTTTGTTCCTGAAGTTCCATGCACAGTATTAGACTACTAGCCAGCAAGGGGGGGTTTTATACCAGATCACTTTGAAAGTCAACCCTGAACTTGAATTTCAAGTGGATTCCCTTAACTTCATAAAGCTGTGTCTATGCTTTCTCTAAAAACTGAACTTAAATTAAGTTTAATCAACAAATGCAACAAAAAGCACTCTAATGAAGACAAAAGGGAAGTATCACACCAGCAACGTTACAGAAAGCACTAAATTCAAAGCTAGAAAAGACACAGAGAACTAATTCAAAATATGGGACAGTGAGTACTCACCACTGAAAGTTCACCCTAACTTGGACATGGAATCTCATACATCATAGTCATTAATGCAAGAAAACAGGGAGAAGGGCTGGTACTCTCTTTGACACAACCAGATCACTAATAGATTCTTAAATTCTCATGCTGAGAAAAGTTACTTCTCTCAGCTGCCAAAATTAAAACACAGCCTTAAAACAATGAGAAGGCACAGTCTTCTAACACAGAGAAGTTAGTCATGAAGCAACTATGAATGCCCATCAGGTATTTGCAAACTTCTGATGCTTTTTAACAGTGACCAAAAGGTCAGTGAGCAAATCAAGCTTCACACCACAATTCAGAGCAGGGACCCAAATTCTGAGCATGCAATCCCACAGTAACGTAAATACATTTAAATCAACTGAGGTCTTCCTCACCAGTGATCACAAGCTCTACTCTCTTTCCTGCACTGACAGTTTTGCACATACCAGTGAGCAAGCAGAAAAGTATTATCAGAAAACGAAATTATTAGTTCACTTTGGATCAGCTCTCCAAACCAGTTCCCTACTTGTTAAATACCAGAAAACTAGTCACCTTTACACCAGGATAAGTCACCAAAAAAACCTGTTGTCCCCAGCTACCATGCTGCCTGCCCCTGTTTTTTCTTTTTTGGCTTGATTAGTTTTAAACTTAGATGAATCCTCTGATACAGTTCAAATGCACCAGAGACAGACAGGACCAACCCCTCCCCCAGCCGTAATGCCAGTTTATGCTTGTAACATAAAAAGTATAGCTTTAACACTACTCTAAAAAGTTGTTAGATCTCAACAGTCAGCATATACACAACCAATTTTTTTTCCTGTGGTAATTCACAATCAGCAATTTTTCTATCAACAATTTTATCTACCCACAATAAAAGAACAAGTGACTTGGCTGTAGCTCATTAAATCTTCCAGTGAGCCTAAAGGAATAGATTTTCTTACAATTAATCAGCATGTGGAACACAAAAGCAACTGACGGGCATCAGGCAAAGAACAAAATTACTGCCCTGCCTCATATAAACCCTCATAACATTTCTCCACATTCCTTTACACTTGGATCTACAAACAACAGCCTAAAGTATCACGGCAGCATTGCGTACTCATTCCTGCTCCAGGAATCCAGGACTGGGGACCTACATTTAAAGTTGATTCTGATCAACATTCCTGTCACTACCCCTATCCAACATCACTTAAAACAATGAACTATTTAAAACATGTTTTTGTTTCCTTTAACATTGTAACTGTTTAACTATGCATTGTTGGGATTTTTTCCTGCTTTCCAGCACATCTCCCTCAGTTGACTAGGTTCACATTAGCCATCACATATTCACATTTTTCTTTTCTGGAATGATTTCTAGAGAAGTCAACACTTAGACCCAAGCAGGTGGTGAGATTTTCTGTTTCCACTAAAACCCACTGGGAGTTCAAAACACTCCTAATCACACAATCAAGTATTCACTCTGCTACCGTCCATGCATGGAAAGAATCGTTCATCTCATTCACAACATTTCTTCCCCCAAAACAAACACACATTACATGGGAGCATGAGATAAGTGTGTAGTACCACAACTCAGATGGGCCTAGCCCATTAACTTAATAGCCTATTCTGTAGAAAATCCAGTTTGCTGAGCTTGCAGACCTAAATCCTTCCACTGCAACACAGGTGCTTTATTCAAAACTCAGATTTTCACACAGATGGGTTTAAATTAGATGAAGACACTTTAAGTTTAAGAAAGGGCCTAAGAACAGCTGAAAGGAAAAGGAAATGCAGACTGGAAGGGCAGGCAACACCCTAGATTGGTGCTTATCTCCAATTACACAGTAACTGAACAGCTCTGATCTCTGCTCTGGAAATGCAGAGCCAGCCATCCTCACAGCAGACACCGAGGTGACAGAGGCTTAAGCCTTATGAACAGATAAGGAGGCTAAGTATAGAAAGTTTGTATTCTGGGTATTCCATACTACCAAAACAAACACTGAAGTTATATTTAATAATTCAAATCACTTTTGTCTTATCAGTCATCATAAAGCTAGAAGCATTGGATCAGTTTTATATACTGCATGTACTCTAGTAACCATTTTTAGAAGCATGTGCACAAAACTTTCAACTCTAAAAGTTACGTTTAAAAGAAAATAACTTATGTTAAAGCTAAGTTCTGGTTAATCTCAAAAAAAAAAAAAAATTACAGGACACACTGCTCCTTAACCAATGCAGAACCAACTACAGCAAAACTAAACATACTTCAGATTGTGACCTCCAGAAGGTCTTATTGACATTCATGTTTTAAAAAACCAACATCCTTACTAGTTCTGGCAAAGGAAATCCAAAATATAGTTTGTGCCAGCTGTGCTAAGCTTTTAAAACAAGTAATTGTTTAGACATCCAATTCTGGTTAAAGAAGCTCAATTTTTTCAAGGATAGCATACTTCTTATCTAAAAAACATTAAAAAAAAAAAAAGATACCAAGAACAGAAGCTGGACTATAGTCAGATATTTACAAAAAGGATAAGTTGATTTGTTTTCTTATACAGCCAGCAGAAAAAACAAGTAGTTGAAAGGCTTCTCATCATGCTGTTTAAGTCCAAAATTAAAAGATAGTATTTGCCCCTTTCACTTTTATTTCTGTTTTGCTAGAAAAAAATTCCCTGTCAGCATCCACATTTATGGCATGCTCACGTTGCTCTGGAAGAATGAAGAGGAAGAGAATAGAGGAACAGAAGTAAAAGTGACAAATCCATTTTCACTTTGCAAACCAGGATAATTGCTACACATGAATCGGTAACAATTTCTGTGCTGAATCAAGTCTGAAAGTTCACCCACCTGCTATCCCATTATCAGCTATGACCAATTAGACATCTAGGGAGGAGTACATGAACTGAAGCCACAGCGCAGTTTCTCTGGACACTCTCTTCGTCTTCAACCATTTGTGGCTCTTCCTCAGCCAAAGATAATTTACACACATCAAAACCCTCTGTGGTTTTTCCTTTTCTTGCTGTGGTTCTTTTTTAGGATGAAATTGTCAGGTCTCTCTGGGTGTAAATTTTCAGCACCCACAACAACTTATTGAAAGGAATTCCTCAGGTTAACTACATGTATGAAGACCCACCTTCATAAGTTCATTTCAAACCCGTAACCTACTGACTTCATTTAATACTCCCACATTTGCATACTTGGAGTAATCAGTTGATTTCCCCATAGAACCTTCTCCACCAAAATTTTACAGATCTCTACCATACACCTACTCAGCTCTCTCTTTTGCAGGTGGAGTAGTCCTAGTCTGCTTGTTCCTCACACCCCATAAATGCAGTCTTCCCAGTACCTTCAAAAGCCTTTTCTTGCTCTACCACATCCTTTTCAACATGGGGTGGAGGACAGTGGGAGAACCAGACCTGCACTTGAAATTGAAGATGTGAGAACAGCAAAATAAACAGTAGCATAAAAAACCAGAACTGTGCCTGTAAAGTTTGTCAATTTTTATATAACACTGCAGCTGATTAAAACACGAGGTAACATTTCTAGAGCTGACAATCCTAAAGACATAACCATCTTCCTCCATAATTCCTTCACCAGATTCCATTCCAGACAGTTACAAATCCTTGCAACACTGACACACAAATATAAACACTTTGATGCAATTACTACTCATCACCATTACAGTATTTTTTACTGTTGTGGTTTAACTCCAGCCAGCAAGTAGGCACCACACAGCTGCTCACTCACCCGTCCCCTCCCAGTGGGACAGGGAAGACAATTGAAAAAAAAGTAAAACCTGTGGGTTAAGATAAGAACGATTTAATAACTAAAGTAAAATAAAATTTAATACTAACAATAATAATAAAATATAATACCAATAATTGTAATGAAAAGGAATATAACAACAACAAAAAAAAAAAAAACCCAAAAAAAAACCAAAACAAGAAAAGACAAGTGATGCACAATGCAATTGCTCACCACCCACTGACAGATGCCTGAACAGCAATCCACCCCTCACAGCCAAATCCCCCCCAGTTTATATACTGAGCGTGACGTTCTATGGTATGGAATATCCCTTTTGCTAGTTCGGGTCTGTTGTCCTGGCCATGCTCCCTTCCCAGCTTCTTGTACACTGGCTTGCTGGCAGAGCATGGGAAACTGAAAAATCCTTAACTTGGGATAAGCACTACTTAGCAACAACTAAAACATCAGTGTGTTATCAACATTATTCTCACACTAAATCCAAAAAACACTGTACCAGCTACTAAGAAGAAAATTAACTCTATCCCACATGAAATGAGAATATACACATTTAAATTAAGCTCATTCAAGAAATTCAGTTCTGAAAAGAGAGAGAGATGGGAAGTTGATCTTAAAAAAAGAAATTTTTTGGAAATAGTTTCCAAGCCAAAGTTTACACCCTCCGTTTAGCAAGCAAAAATTAAGGGCAGAGCAATTCCAGAATTGTATCCTGAAACACATCCTGTGATACATTTTTGTTTTCTGTTAATCAGTCAATAATACGTATCTACTTCAAATCCTTCATCTCCTGCATACCAGCAACCAGCGGTGTTTGTACACTGTATACCTACTACCCTGTAAAGTTGCAAGGAATGTCACACAGAGTCATTAATGGAAGATCTACTGCACAACAAAGCTAGTGCCTACAGCACCAGGGCAGAAATACTCAGTATCAGGGCTTTTCCCCCTCAGTAAACAGCACATTATGACCCCAGCGTCAATCCCATTTGCTACTTTCAGTGCATGTAATTTCTTAAAATTAGGCTGTTCTACAGTGAAGCAGCAATACGATGGCCCAGCAAATCTTCCCCTAGAAAGCAGCCAGTAAGATAACTCCAGCCTGAGAATGTAGCTTAAAATAGAGAGACAGTGCATTGCTCAGATATTAGCTGACCCCTAATTTTGTACCCAATGCCTAGGTTCCTACACACACTATGCATGAAACTTTTCTAAAAAAGGGTTCTGTGGTGATTACCAGCAACCTATTTACTTTCAGCTGAAGTACTTTATCCCACATTTGACTATTCTGTGTAACAGTAAAGAAAGACTACTGAATGAAATGGCAGGAAGCTTTTTTTTACTATTTCTACTAATAACCAAAGGAAGAAGGTCATGCATCCCTGCAGTACTGAGAGTGAAATACACAACTTTATACAACTCCCTGCAGATTTCAAGGGCTTGCATTATAAAATTAAATTAGGTATTTCCTGCCACAGAATACACACACTTGTAATATAATGATCCTGAAGTCGTTCAACAGGTTTATCACAGACATTTGAGAACACTTCATTAAGATACTTTGCTCACATAAACGTACAGTCTAAAATATTTGGTAGAGAGATACAGCAATACTATGTGTTCTGTGAACAGAAATTGGTTGAAGTTGTTCCAATTTCTTCAGTCAGTTATGTCTGTTTGATCTGATGATTAAACACTTTGGATTGAGACATATGATATTCAACTAGAGAGCTACAGTGTTGACAACAAAAGCAGTGTATTGTTCATAAGGTTACAAAGCAAAAAGTAGACTGTATTTGAAATGAACCTTTATGTTTCACCCAACAATTGAAAAAAAATCCTATCTTTATAATTCGAGTATAAAGGATTATTTTATAAAACAAATACTGAAAGATTTACGTTCCATCTATTAACAGTGCTAACATACCTAAAACTGTAGCTGTGAACTATACCACACCCTCCCATTTGGTACTTGGTGATTCACAGGTACAACTGAGTCATTCTCACAACCCTCTCTCTGGAAGCTACATGTCTTTGCATCTTTCCACTCCTTCAAGATGCAGATCTGGAGACAATGAAGGTGAATGTGCCTGTTGCTGAATGCCTCTGTTACTGGATATTCCAAAGAGAAAGGAGTCCTTTGAAGGCAGAATTTTTCACAAGTCAGGCATTACTTAAGTACATTAGCTCTGCTGTGCACCTTAACAATTCAACTCATTTAATACCCATTTCCCCATATGAGGTGCACTATACCTAGGTTACTCATTTTCATTCCTCCTGCTTTAAGAAAAAACAAGCCTCTTTCCATTCCAACTTGTGAAAATCCAAACCAACTGCACATCCCTTGATTCCACATCAAATCTATTATCAACATCTTTCCTATCTCTTCTACAGGACAGGATCGGACTTCTACCTAAGACCCTGCAGTATTGTTTTTCCTCAGTTCTCCTCATCAGCTCTTCCATGTGAAATTCCTTCTCCTACCAAAAAGTCTCTAAGGTAGGTTGTTCTTTCTCTGATTGGCTACCAAAAACAGAAGGCAAGCCTGACAACCGTATCCACCCCAAAGAAACGGCACAAGTACACATCAAATCCCTCCCTGAGAGGCCTACAGATGGAATCTTGTACTCTCCTGCTGCCAAGGTACATCCTGAGGAGCCCAGTGCACTCCCACTCACAGGCGGCTGGCATGAGTCAATCTGGGGAAACAGCTCCCCATAGCCAGAGCACACCAGCCTACCATGATGGTGATTTATGTCAATTCTTTTAAGCTGTTCTGAGACCAAGACATGACAAGGGGTAAGGGAGGGGGAGGTACCTAAATTAAAGGTGGCTGAAGTGCTTATGGAATGAAAGGATAACCAACAAATGCTTAAAATGAAGTGTTTAAAGAAATAAATGGGAGAGTTCCATTTCAGGACATGAAATCAGTGCCAGTCCCACACCAATGCCACCATCTCACCTCTCCCACGGCCACGTTTCCCACGGTCCGAAGGCCTGTCTCCTTGATTGTTGTCCACTCCATTCTCTTCGGCTCTAACTGCGGAGAGAGGACAGCTTAAGAGATGCTTTAGAGACTCATACATGAGACCATAGAGCCATCTGCTTAACCTGAAGCCCAAAAGAAAAGGCAAGGCTTTAAAGTAGGCTGGTCAACAGATCTCAGTCATCTCTCTTCTTTGGGGGCCTAGCTACAAGCAAGTTATGTTTACTTTGCACTGGACAATTAGAAAGCAAAATATCTAATAAGAGGGAAATGTCCCTTAGCAAACATACTTCTAGTTGTTGGTTTTGGTGGGTTTTTTTTTTTGGGGGGGGGGGGGCAGTGTGAGGAGAAGGTGCAGTATAATACAGCTGCCTCATACTATGCTTCCTTGATAATGTGCTGGGTGGCAACAGTGAAAGAATAAGGGATAGCCAAGAACACCAACTCTTCTCCTGTCTGTCCATACCACATCCCTGTACAACCTGGGAAACTTAAACGAACTCTCCTCTGTATTTAAATCAGAGGGACAACAACTGGGTGAAGGTGAAGCATTAGAAAAGCACTGCAACTTAACAATTTTGCTGAAAACTGCTGAGGGGGTACTCTGAAAGATGGCTGGCTCCTTCAAGAAGAAAAAAAAGTAATAACAACTGGCCACTTAAAATGCTGGTGAGATTTTGTACTGCACAACTTCTCCTAATGGCAGCAACAAAATCATCAATGCTCGGACATAAAGCTGGGAAGAGAGTATCAAGATTTGGTAACCATCTCAAAAATCTTTAATTCCAGTTTACAAAAAGAGATAAGCAGCATCTGCCTCTGGCAAAATCTGCCCCTTACTTTCATTTTGATGGATGCAGTTTCAATTTGTTCTAAGCACAGCTGCAAGTTTTATTAGTATTTTTTCCTATCTTGACGTTACTCTATTCTACAAAGATTCACAATGTCCTCATTGGCACGATATTTGAATGTATTCCGATAATGAATTAGAAGAGTTGGCTAATACTGTAAATATTTTTCCTGCTTTTAAGTGAAAAGGTAAACATACTGTTTTCATTCCAGTTTCTCTGCTCATCTGTTAGTGTTGTGTACAACCCTTACAGGCAATGTGTACAGCTTTGACACTGCTGATAAAACTTGGTGAAAAAAGCAACACATATCCAATGGTGATCTAATGTGAGTCTACCTAACTTGGAAACATCAGTTAGCTTTTGTACAATATATTATTGCACCCGTATAAACTGTAGCAAATTTTTAAATGTCTCAACTCACAAAGAATTTTCTCTGTTGTAGAAACTCACCTTTGGTTGGCTTATGTGAGTAATATATGCTAGAGATTAATAATGATCCCAGTCTTTTCATTCCCCTTATGAGAAGATGAGAACATCTTCAGGTTCTCCCACTCATAAAAGGAGATGTAGTCAAAGCTGGATAAATTTTTTATTAAAAGAAACAAAAAAGTGTATCAGCTGTGCAGCGACATACTTGCTCTCAAGCAGTCTTACAAAGAATCAATTCTAAAACATAAAGAACAACAATTTGTACAAGATCAATTAATCAAAAAAGGACATAAATTTAAATTAAATTGTCTCTGAACAAGAACAGACCATCCCAAAACCAAGTCACACAGACAGATCAAGCATACCTGTCACACAAACAAGTTATGATTGCTTCAGCGCTGAGCTATAGCTCGGATGTGCTTTAGTCCATCAAGCATTCACTCTTAACTCAGCCAGTTTCAGCTGCAAGAAAATTGTCTGCATCTTTAAAAGTGAACCACTATACATACACTCTCGGCCACGGCTGCCTCCTCTTCCTCGTCTGTTGGAACTTCCTCGTCCACGACTCACTTCTCTGTCCACTCTTTTTTCTCTGTTCTCTTTGTTTTCTGAACTTTCCTTCCCAAGGCTTTTCTTCTTTCCCCCTACAGTCTCCCAAGAAGTCTATTTGGGTAGAAGATAATTAGATACAAAAGTCAAAAAGGAGGAGATAGCTCTCAATGCATACTTCCACCTCACACCCTTCCAGTTCGTGGGAAAAAAAAACAGGTATTTGCGTAACATCACATATGTAATACCTTGCAAACTACACTGATACAAATGGAAACACAGGCTGTATTTCTGGGAAGAAATGAGAAAGAAACAAGTTTTAGAAGTTGGCTTGTCTTACGGAATGTGAGAATCCCAAATATTTCTGGCTATAATGGACTTTTATTAGTTCAAGGAAGCCTAGATATGACTACGACACAGAAAATCTGCAAAGCAAGCAACAGTTTCCCTCTCAACTACCTTCATAAATCTAGCAAGGAAGCATGCACAGAGCTATCTTTTTCATCCAAGGAAATGAAAAAATGCTTATAAGTGTCATTGAACAAGACACTGATAAGAATAAGTACACAGCCTAAGGGGGCGGGGGTACGGTGGGGGATTAAAAAGAAAAACCAGTATCCAGATGGACTAGAATTCAAGCACCAAGAGACAGAATGGCAGAACAACTCAGGAAAACTGGAGCCATGGTAAGCTAGACCATCCACTCTTAACAGCTACAGCCCATCACACACAGTAAAATACAGGAAAAACTATGTCTAAACAAGACAAGGGACCAAGGTCCAAACATCAGGCTTCAGCTTTAACATTAAATTCCATCTTTAAAATAAATTCATATGTAGGAGTTGAAAATAAAATGACTAACACACTTGCTAAGAATAGCACAGCACCCCATATATATTATGCAATTGCATGGTTAGTCTATTAAGCCATAGCTGCAAAGCAAAGAAAGGTATTATTTGCAAACCATTAAGATGGCAAATAGGTTTGTAAGTATGTCCCCATCTTTAGGAGCTTATAGTCTAGGTAAGGTAATTAAGCGGGAAATTTGCATATGCAAATAAGATGCCATCAACTGTGAAGCACTGAAGCCATGACCTCTGACAGGCACTTGCATCAAACAAAAAAGGCTGGCTATCAGTACTTTTAGGTCCTGTCCTATCTTCTCTCAATTCAGACAGCAGCAACTCAAAAGACCTCATGAGGTAGGCAATGACCAGCTAGTCTAAGCTGCCTAGAACTGGGAAAACTAATGCTATTGAGAAAGCAAGGAACAACCCCGTTCAAGTACGAACTCAGTATTTCAGTGTCTCCTTTGAGAGAATAAGTACTAAGAGAACGGTTACTCTCTCTTTATTTTTTGCCATGGTAGAGGCGAGAAAGAAGGCTGAAATCACATTTCAATTTCAATTCCAGTATAGAAGACTACACTGCCGTAAACCAACTTAGATGAAGCGCAGATAATGCAGATTAAAAGTACAAAACTACGCATTTAAGCAACAACACATTATTTGTGTGACACAAAACTGTTTCCTCCAGTAACGGTCATATTGCTTCACCTGCCATAGCCTGTGTAACTGCATTACACACTAGAACATTCCTAGAGATTTAGAGACACTTCACAGGAGGAAAAATAAATGCACTGACAACTATAGAACCAAATATATATATATATATATATTTCAGAATGCACTACTATTTCACTGATGGCCATGGTGCCAAAAGATCTTTGACCATTTTAAGAAACACGCAGAACTGGATGATCCTGCAAAGCTTAAGAGCAAGTAGCCTCTCCTTAGTAAGGTTTTACATGACTTGGGAAGGATCAGTGAAAAGACAACTGTGAAAGCATCAGATCCATGCTTTACCACAATGTAATTTTGAGGGAAGCCTTGAGAAGTTAAGTTGGGCATGTCCTTTAAGATAGAGGATGGTGCTACCTTTGGGCATGGGAATCCATCACAGACTGTCGAAGCTGTCTGGTTTTGTAAGGGAGCTAACTGATTACAATTTCAGCTGACGATGCCTGAGGCAACCCAAATGACAGTTGTGGGCCTGACCTTCAAAAACATGCAAGAGAGGCCTTCTTGCTTGCCTGATCTTAGACGAAAAGAAGAATAATCTGAATGGTCTCCTTGTTCTATCTTCAAAGGTTTAGGAAGTAAAACATGGTCAGGCATAAAATGGATCTTAAGCCTGTAGGAAGTTAAATGAATGGAAATCTTGGGCAAAGAAACATGTCCTTCTCTACTCCCATCCACAAGCCTCTATCTGTCCAAAGCCAGGCTGTCACAACTGTTGCAGGTGGAAAGTCTTCATGAAGACTAAGTCACACAGCATAAAGCCTTAAAGATAACAGCATTAAAAAAAAAATATTAAAAAAAGATAAAACTGGCAGAGTACCAAAGAAATTATAAATAGACATTCTAGCTATCCTTGCTCTTCTAATTCTTCAATTTCGATAGACAAATTTTCTTCCAAATGAGGTAAAAAAAACCTTCTAGTGCATTAAAACAGAGCAAAACTAGAAAAAAAGATTTGGGAATCAGCATTGAGAACTAGTAGTACCTCTGCTTCCAAATTTACATCAAATCCATGGTTAAACTGTTCTGGAGTATAATGGCCTTAAAGCCCTTCAAGTTGGAGGCCCACAAACTTCCATAAAGAAGAATAAATTTCTTCACGCCCTTCAGTTAATACTAGTTCCTCCTTGAGCCCTTTAAGTTGTCTGTATTTGCTCCTAAGCTGATTTTGTCTGCGGAGAGCAGTGAGTTCAGGGGAACTTGTTGAAAGAGCAGAACATAAGGATATGTTGCATCTAATTGTTAAATGAGTTCAGAAAGTTTCTTCCATGTCATGATCACTTATAACAATTTGCTAAAGTAAAAAAGCATTTAAGATTCTCTATCAACCAGAAAACTATTTTCAATTAGAAAATGGCAAATAAGAGAAGTACAAGACAAAACAAAATGAGCACATTACCAAGACAGATTTAATCACGGTGAGATGCTCTCTTCTACTCCCAACTTGCCAGCTTGCTCAGTATTATATACTTCTGTGTTTTAGATAACCTCAACTCTGACAAATGAAAAGGGGATAGAAAAGAAAGTCCCCTCAGAATGGTATGTCCCCTAGATGTAGAGTGTGTAGGGGGCGAGTTTCCTCATTAACAATAAGCTAGAGTACACATCCTGACAAATCACAGGAAATACTGAATGTTCAGCATTAAGAAAGAAAGTCCAGGTTTCTTTCCCAATTTAGATGAGATGGAATCTAGTTTACTGCCTCAGATAAACTGTAAGAAGTCCCTCCAGCAAAAACTTCAACTGCAGCAAGACATATTTTCCTGATATCTCTTGGCATAAAAAACTGCTCTGTGCAACATCCTAAGCGGCATTATTTGTTGTTATATACACATTGTTTAGTCTCCTCCTGTTTTTCAATGAAGTCATGCAAATTAGCAACATAGTGAAAGGAGCAACTAGCTGTATTCTCTTCTGCCATTAGTAGCACTATCAATGCAACTTTCAGATGTGGAAACCTCCTCCAACTTCAATACTGGCAATGCACATGTACAGAAGTTGCACGACTTAGAAGTATCTGCCTGCCCTTCAGGTTTACAGAGACTGCACTTTGTGTCAAAGGCTTAGTCTCAGGGTTGTGGAGGTGCTACAGAGTAACCACAAACATGGCACCAAAAAACTGGCCCCGTCTGACAAGAGCACCTAGTTCTGCTGCAGAGTTAAAATTGCTGCATGTAAATAAAAGCTGGAGGACTCTGCAAGAGAGCAGCTGAACACTCACAACATTTTCAAGGTTCAGCCCATGCAGTAGAGAAGTTGCCGTGGTCTCCATTTCCTTCAAAAGAATTTGAATGGAGACGTAGAAATAAAAAGCTTCCAAAATACAACTTTCTCAATCACTTCTTAAAAGTAGAAAGACGCAGCAAACAGAGTGAGCCAAGTATGAAAGTAAAACCTTACCGTGTCTGAACTTCCTTCCAGCAGTATGTTGATTGCTCTGTTCACGTCCCCATTACAATCATGTAGTGCCACTATGCACTCATCCTGGTTTTTCCCCGTCACTTCCATAAGCTGGCAGTAAAAGTCAGACATGTTAAAATACCTGAATTATCATTATGAGAAAATAAGAGTTAGTATCACCACAGATTCTGAGAAAGTGCGTAGCTACTGTGTCAGAGCAAACTAAAATCCTAAATAAAGGTATCTCCATTTTACACATCTTCTTGGAATTCAGACAAGAGACAGGGTGAAACACAAATTAAATGGTAATCAAGAAAGCAGTCTCTTTCACACTTTTTTTTCTTTATGCTTGCAGCAAATGCTGCTACCCCAGAGACAGCAGTATATGAGGGTAAAGATCATAGAATCATTTAGGTTGGAAAAGACCTTTAAGATCATAGAGTCCAACCATCAACCATGCCCACTAAACCATGTCCTGAAGTGCCTTGTCTACATGCTTTTTGAATACCTCCAGGGACGGTGACTCCACTGCTTCCCTGGGCAGCCTGCTCCAATGCTTGACAACCCTTTCAGTAAAGAAATTTTTCCTAATATCCAATCTAAACCTCCCCCGGTGCAACCTGAGGCCATTTCCTCTTGTCCTATCACTAGTTACTTGATAGAAGAGACCAGTACCCACCTTGCTACAACCTCCTTTCAGGTAGTTGTAGAGAGCGATAAGGTCTCCCCTCAGCCTCCTTTTCTCCAGGCTAAACAACCCCAGTTTCCTCAGCCGCTCCTCAGAAGACTTGTGCTTTAAACCCTTCACCAGTTTTGTTGCCCTTCTCTGGACACGCTCCAGCACCTCAAAGTCTTTCTTGTAGTGAGGGGCCCAAAACTGAACACAGTATTCGAGGTGCGGCCTCACCAGTGCCAAGTACAGGGGAACAATTACTTCCCTGACTCAAGATGTAAAAGACCATCCTCCCTCCCTCCCCATCAAACATCCCCCTCTTTATCCTACTGTGTTAGAACAGACATAAGGTAAGCCATGGCAGAGAACATGGAAAATCATCCAGACTAAGAAAAAGGTTATTCTTCAGCCAGATCAGCTCCCTTGATCCATTTCAGCACAAGGCCACAAAGGATGCATAAGCGATGGCTGCTTAAGGAGACCTACTACTGAATTATGCTCTGTGGACCTGCAGTGCACATCCTGAGGAGTGTGGGATGGAAATAATCACAGTCTGTCATGGGACATCCAGCAACTTCACAAGGAAAAAACCTACATTAGCTAGAAATATATATATGCACAATGTAAAATATTGGACATTTCCTATGCATAACTTAACTCTTATCCTTCCCACCAGCAGACCTACAGGCACTATTGAGGAGGGTCCTCTGGCTTCGGGAAGTACCAGCTTCACTTCTGGCACAGCAATAGAACAAGTTTATAACAAGAACAACAAAAAGCACTTAATAAAGCTTCAGAGGAGGGTTTACAAAGGAAAAGAAATCAAGAAATCTGGTCCTCTGCTGCATTAATGCATTCACGCTAATTCTTCTCTCCTTCTGGGTGTACTCCTAGGTTCTTCATGAGTTATGATGTGTTCACTAGGACAAAATCACCAATACCCACAGCAGAACAGGGACCCAGATTCTCAGTACTCCTTTTATTAATGGTCTCAGCCATAACCGGCTAATGGAAGCTTGAGCATCTACACCCAAAACTCAGCATTCTAGAGGAAATCGTGTGAGATCTCATTTTCACAGTGTAATTTTGTCATTTTAATGCATACACAGAACTGTGAGGTCAGATTATTATTTTTTTTTTAAATAACACTTCAATTCACCTTTAAGCTATGATTAGATTTTTACTTTTCCTGAAAAACAGCCAAGATATTAGCAAACTCAGTTTATACAGGTGACATTTTTCCCATGCGCATGTACATTTGGACAAGCTGAACGCACTCTTTATTCTGACAATCATTAAGCATCAGGACCATACTAGAGAGATACAGTCTGGAAGAGACATCAGCACAGATGAGTTTTGGCTTACAGGCTTGTCTACAGAGGAAAATACACCAATATAACTACACAGCCAGCGCTACATTACCACACAATTTCTTGTAAACAGACTTCACAGTGCAGTAAGAGCACCTTTTCCTAGTTAAACTTACATCCTTCTGAAAAAGGTTTCATCTAAATCAGAAACAGATGCTCTAGCTCCAAAATGTAAGCCAGCTTTGGAGCACCTTATTGCAGGGCATAAAAACTCTGTACCGCAAGAAACATACTTGTTTCACTTTATCTTCAAAATCTGCGTCATTCTTATCGTAGATCATCTGAGCAAGGCGAATCTGTTCTGCTGTTGCCTGAAAAACACAAACATGCAATAAGTACACAAAAGGTAACAATGTATTTTTTAAAAGTATCTCCTAGTGTCACCATTTTTTTTCTCCAGATTCTCAAAAAGAACATACACAACAAGCACAGAGGTGCTATGGGGAAGGGATTAACATCTCCTCTATGCTCATTTTATAGTTAAAGAGTTAGCTGGGACAGAAACAATTTCAACATGTTCCAATAGGTTTGAACCATAGTTAAAGGTCACCACATAGACACGACAACCATATAATAAAATAGAATTTACCACAGAAGCCTACACTTTGATATTATTACTTTTACTTTTATTTAGTATTTACCACTGCAGAGTTACAGTTTTATCATAATAAAATGGTAACAGTATTTCTAAATTAACGACATCTCTGATGATTCCTGTTCACATCACCTTCCACGACTCTCCCAACAACCACCTGACTCTAGTTTTATGAGCACTTGGAAAGAGACTGAGTCATGCCTCAAGATTTTGCCGGCGAACAGCTGCACTTATTTTCTTTATAAACAAATACTGGTCTCTGAAAACTGCTAAAGGATCTTGTTATTGATGAAATACTTGGTGCTTCTGTAAGGTTTCTGGACCACAAATCCATGCTGGCAACTTCTCCAAAAGCTGAAAGACTAAAATGGATGGATGCAGTAAAGTGCCCTAAATCCGAATAGGCTATAGCTGCCCCAGGGAGAAAGCAACTGAAGAACACTAATGCCGCATCACACAGGTCACTCTTCATAGTGTGATATCTACAGTCTACTTGAACTGCACTCCCATGAAAATACCAAAGATAACGCTATGCTACGTGATCCTGGACCTATTTGATTACTGCTTAAACAGAAGCTTCTGTCTCGTGCTAGAGAAGGCTGTTACTGAAGAGAGCCAGGACCTGAAATGCGAGTTGACATGCTGCAGAGACTTCTTCACTGAGAAGGGGACCACCTCATCCACTGAAATTCTTGACAGAAAGGATTCATCCTGGGCAGCTGGTTGAATCTAACCTTTCGAATTCTCACTTCACAGGATACCCACATGAAAATCTGTGTCTCACAAGTTCAGACTTAATCAGGCTCAAACTGCTTCGCTTTTGGAGTTTACCACAAATACAAACTTGCGTGTAAATGCTGAGAAGAGTCTAAAAATTACTCCACCGTATACCACCAGCTGCTTATATTCTGAGAAGTTACTGCAGCTGTCACAGTTCCTTGAGGGAAGCGACATTTGCTGTGCTCAGAGGCAACAATCCAAGACAATTAGCGTTTGTAATGGAGTTAAGTACTCTGCACTACCTAACATTTTCAAAGTGTCACGCTGACAGCTTCATATGTCACTCCACTTGGTAACCCAGAGGAGAGCCTGCTCTGGAATTCCCCGCACCAGTCCTGGTGCCACTGTCCACGAAAGCATTCCGGTCAGTGTGGTGCTCTGTGTAAAGGAGCTCCTTCTTGGTGTCTGCTGAGAGCTCAGCAGAGAGCAAAAACAAAAGGTCTGCTGGTTTCAGGAATTAAGCCTTGTTGATCCATCTTCTCGCTCTGCCTTCAGCTGCCTCAGGCCCACTACAACTTTTAACCTAGTGAAGAGATTTACTTTAAAGATATCCAGAGTAAAAACGTTCAGACAATGTAATTTCTGTACAGACATGACAGCATATTTGATCAGAAACAGGAAATCATTAAGATACACTTTTTCCGTAAACCAATTTTTTTCAAGTCCAGGTTAGAAGACAAAAATATACATATTTTATAACAATGTCAGATGTGTGACAGTATCTTCAGTTTTCCTGTGTAAGCAGAAAGCTTAGAATTAGCTAATATTTATGCCAGTGGATTACATCCAGATGGAATTGAAGATTCAGAAGAAAAAAGCAACAAAAACCCACAAGATGTGTTTACTACACAAACACCAAATCAGTGTCACAAAGTTTTGGTTTTTTCCCAGCGAATGGTGGTTCTTTATTTTTAAGGCACCATCATTATAAGTAACATTGTAGTATCCTATAAAAGAGTATAATTAAGTTTTAATTGCATCTAAGAAAATAGTAGCATCTGAAGAACAGCTAAACCTTTACTCAACCTTACAAGATATATTATCTTTGTGGCATAACAGAGTGAAAGAAATTTTTAACAACTTTGAACTACCAGAAAAAGAAGCGTACAAAACACAAAATTAAGTGACAGTAATAGGCCCAGATCTTATAATAAATGGTATGTTTGTTATCCAGAAGAACTGCAATGTAATTTCTTAAATAACTTAAATGATTATCAATGTAATATTATGACAATGAAAAAAAACATTATTATACATACAGAAAAATGAATCAGTGGTGATTAAACAGTAAAATCCCACATGTTCCTGTTGATCTGTAAAGCCTGACTAAGCAGGAAGGTCCATCTGATATCTAAACAATAAAAAACTATGATGCACTAAAACATAATTGCTGTATATTAAATAACCATCTTTTCCACTGAATTGACCAAACCAGTATTTATTATGCAAGAAGTAGAATAAGCAGACAAAATGCAGAAAGAGGTCTGTAAGACTTAATGCTTAAAATCAGTGAATCACATAGGTTGGAAATGTCCTCCAGTGATACCCAGTGCAACCTCCCAGTGAGACCATGTCCCATCAGAGGAGCTGCTTGGGGCCAGACACAGATCCCACAACCTCTCCAATCCATGACTGTGTTCATGGTAAACAATATTTTTTTCTTTTACCTGCTGCAATTTCCAGTATTCCAACTTGTGCCATTGTCTCTCTGAGAACTCTCTGGCTTCACCTTTGCTACACCCTTTCATGAGGTATCTGAATAGAAGTTACGACCTTGCCTTGCCTTCTTAGGGCTGAACAAATTCAGTTCCCTCAGTCACCCCTCATTCATCCTGTGCTCCAGCCCCTCAACCATCTTCGCAGCTCTTCGCTGGACTTACTCCCATCTGCCAATGTCTGTCTTGTGCCAGGGAACCCAAAACTGGGCCAAGTACTCCACTGCTGTCTTGCAAATGTCAAAAAAGGGGAAACCACCACTTCTGTCAATCTGCTCACTATACTCCTGCAGCTTTACTTGTTATAAAACAAAAACAAATTCGACTTCCATCTGTTGAAAGTCAGTTTCTAAATCCACACATTAGCACGAATCACCACTATGCAAAGCACTGCAACACAAGGAGGAGATAAGGGCTTGAGGCCACATAATTAATACTGTACAAAACAAGACCCCCTCCATATTAAAGATCAGTCTATAAAACAACAAAAGACACAATTTCCCTGGTGAGGATTTCTAGATTGATGCACTCTCTACCAGCAGAGAACTGGGGCAATTCTTGAATTGAGCCAAATTTTGAGAAATACCTGACAATAGAATAATGAGTTGCTAGGAGCAGAGAAATTTTGCACTCTCTGTAACCCAGACAAGCACACAACTTAACTACTCTGCTGCTGAGAATCAAGACAATGGGGTAAGAGCTTAATTTCAATCTCACAGATACTCAATTTTAGTCCACTAGTAGATGACCACCTTCATTTCACTTTGTGAGGACACTGCACAAGAAGTTTAGATTTTGTGACTTGCAGATATGCTGAATTATGCTGTAGAACACAACATGCCTCTAATGAAGCTTTTCCCACCCACCCAAATTCCTCTGTCAACCAGAAATCTTCTAGCATCAAGAGGCTGGCATATGGAAGAGCTGAGATCTGATGACACTGAGGTCACAGAACAGAAATCCTGACACGGGCATAGGCACAGAATTCCTCACTGATAGGAAATGTTGCTGAAGAACACAAAGCTCCTTCAGAGACAAGAATACAGGGACAACTTAATGCTGTGCTGGATTACTGAGTAATTAAAGCAAGACATCAAACATACTCTTCCAAAACAGACCATGACTTTTCCTCCCATCTTTTCTCAGTTTTTACTGACTAAGGGAAGAAATGCGTATCATTACACGCTCACTTTCAACTCAGAGAAGATTATATAGTATCACGTACCTGTACTACTTGTTTCTGTGGTTGTGTTGGCTGTGTGGTTGAAATTTGTGTTTTGTCCCGAGTGCCCCGGGTACGTTCACTGCCCACCGAAGTCATCATATACAGTATATACAAAACAATGTATGTACAAAATAGAAAATCTGAAAGGAAAAAAAAAAAGAGCACAAGTTAAAGCAGGGTACTGATTTAATACCCAGATAATAAACAAATGCAGTAGCTTGAACTGTTCCTGCCTTTACCACGAACTCTATACAGAGACTCCTGAGAAAGTAGCTTTAATACACTATTACTGGATTTATCACAGTCTTTACAGTAAAGGGGGAAACACAGTGGATAAAAAGCATTTTTGTCAGCTGATTGGGATCTGTCTAGATCTGTACTACCAGCCAACATATACTTCTCACAGCTTTTTCCAATTATTTAACATACAGACTTTTCTACCTGCTACCCTGCTGAAATTTCGGCTCCAGCTCTATCACTCCTTAAATTTCTGTAATACCTGATGTCTCATTCTGATGCCTGGAATTTAATCACTCTCATACCACTCAGAATGTTAACGCAAAGATCACATACACAAACTAGGCAGTTCCTCTCTTTACTATCATCAAACTGCTTTCCTGCACATATACGGAGGTTGTGGCCAACGCCCATTCTACTTCTCACCTCTCATTTTTAAGAGAAATGATGATGCTTACCTTTAAATCCAGCCTGTGCAGCCAGTACTTTTGTTTTGCTCTCCCTCATACTTACAGAAATTATTTACAAAGCTACCTATAACCCTGCTTTAAACACACCTTTGTTGTATGGCAACAAAGAAACCCAAAAGAAAACCCAAATTACACACATACATCACTGCTATCCCGTTTGTGGTAGTAAGTTTTCATTCTCATTCATCCTCTACCATTAAAATTACTTTGAAACAAGACATTTATTACTCCCCCTGTGTTTGTACAGCATCTAACACAAGGCTAATTGATGAGTATGGTTTATAGTAGCTATGATAACTGGAAACAGATCTCTCTAACTGGTCAGAACGGTCACGATAACTGCCTGGTTTCTGTCCCCATGACACTGGGAAATAAAACTGCAAATTTAGGGAACTGAGGACAACCTGCAAGTGGTATAACTGAGCAGAAGGAGATGTGCAAATGAGCAGCAAAGCACTTCCACTGCAGCCCCAATGTATGAACGTGCCTCAGCACACAGTTTGTCAGGGCAGCAGCTTTGGTGCAAGCTGGCTAGTACCAAGTTCAATGCACAGACGAAAACTGAGCAAACTGCTGTGATTGCATGGGTAAGGATGTGTTCAATACCCAACTGCTCACTAGGATTCACAAGTAATGGGTACTCAACAATTAAAGTTGCAATGAGATGCTTCAGTTTAAACATCAATTCATGATGCTCAGGAGCCTCACCTAGAATCAAAAAGACAATTAACCCCATTATCATCTAAATCTCTTCTCCACTTTAGAAATACATTTCTGTTGGCCAAAACTGAACCCCAACATTGAATTTCTTTATGTGCTAGTTAAAGCATTCAAAACGCATTCGATAAATTCTGAGGAGAAAATATATTTCCATGAACTCTTACATATTTAACAAGAAAAGGCCTGCCTTTACCAGGAACTGCCTGTAGTATGAGCTGAACTGGAAGACTGTGTTTCTCCAGCTTTATGAATATATTCACCAAAGCCAATCTGCCTCCCAGTCTTTTAAGGTAGTCTAACTTTGTTGCCTTATAAGCCCCAGAACACACAGGCCTTCAGAGCACTGCACTCGATACCCTAAAAGCCAGACAGTCAGAACTGAGGTTATTCAAACTTGCAACAACATGTTCTGTGGAAAGCAAAATATTAAGTAGATGTGGAGACACTCTAAGCAGCAAGTTCAACACTTCTTACTGACTATCTGGTCATGGCTGTCCATGTTAAGGACAGTCTTCAGTTGAGTTCGCAGTAGAAATTACTTTTGCTCTTCGTGTTAAAATCCACTTTATAAGCCTTGCTGATGGGACTGCCAATGTTATATAGACGAATAATCACCTTTGGGTTGTTTGGGTTTTTAAAGTATTGGTCAACTCATCACTATCTGAACCTAGCACAATGAGCAATGAAAAAAAGCCCTGAACAGAGAACATGACAGAGAAAACTAACCTCTCTGAAAGACAAGCTAATAATTTCAAATATGATTGTCTGGAATTAGCCCTCTATGATTTAAGATATGTTGAGAAATTACAACTCCACTGGGTCTCAATTTGTTCATCATTTCTGAATTAACATCATATGTTTACACAGATTCTGGTACCTAAGAATTCTGAAATACATTTCAATGCTATTTTCTATAAATTCACCAAAGCTACGCAAAATATTGCAATCCATGTTTTGGACATGACAGCAGTGCACACACATTAAAACAAAGAGTTTTCCGTTTGTTTGTAAAGAATACGCTGAACTATAAGCCTACATTTCTGATAGCAAGGCAACCTATGGTACCTGAAGAGGATTGTGTCTTTTCTCCCTCTCGTAATATGTATTTTACAGTGTCTTCTGTGCCACAGCTGTTTAAGCCATGTTTGTTTTTCAGGATGAAAGGATACTTTAAGAAAAAAGGCAGGCACCCAAATGTTTGAAACACTCCTGGGGGATGAAGCAGCACAGCAGGATCAGCCTGCTGTTGGGAACAGAGCCAAACAACCTCAACAGTGTAATGGGATCTTTAAAGAAGATCCTTATCTTGCTGACCGTGCAGCCCGTGAGCAGCACAATTTGGCAACAGGTCCGAAGCAGAAAACCAGCGAAGCTGAGAGCCTCTTCCTGGCAGCGGTATGGACTTGTACTTGCTTCAGACAAGTGTGGAGGCAGCGGTATGGACTTGTACTTGCTTCAGACAAGTGTGGAAACACACCCTCAGTTTGACAGTCCCCATCAAGCCAACATGTACATATTATAATCCATTTCAGACATAATCTAGTCTTCTTAAAAGCACATTTGGCAGCTTGATATAAAGACAGCTTTCAAAATAAAGCTATTTTATTTCCCCTTAGTTGGCTCCCGCTATCTACAGGCAGTGTCCAGACACAACAAGCAGCCCAGCCTCAGCGCACAGGAGGAGCAGCTGAAGGGCTCTGCTCCACCACTGATGGTGCACTGACTGACCAGGAAAACATCGCACCTCCCTGGCACGGGCATGTCTTCACCCCGCTGGGCTGAGGCTTCAAACCCCACCACGCCTACTCTTTAGAGTACCGAAGCAGCTGGCAGAAGGGAGGCAGATAGCCACTGCCTTTCAACTACCATAGTGACTACAATTTCAAGCATTAAGTGGGATATTATTAATTAATAAGATGGGGCTGAACAGGAACGTTTCCTTACTCGCAAAGCAGCCTCTTATTCTCTCCAATTCCTCATATTAAAGTCTGTTTCGCAGGTTGTTGTCATAGCAATGAGTAGGATATCACAAACTGATGAAAATTTTAACTGCAGATCAAATGAGGAAAGAAGATTTGAGACTGGAAGACAACTCTCAATTAAAATCTGTTTAATAAAGATCAAAAAAATATTCAGACAAGCAGATGTTTCAGCTTCCATATCAGGGTCTGGCTCAGTGCAGAAGTCCCTCATCAGCAGTTAATACTTGACCTTGTAGACACATTGCAACTAGTAAGCAGCCAAAACAGCTGTATTTTGAAGAGATACACGTTAAATGAAACGGAGCTCCCAGGCACTAGCAAAAAAGGAGGAGAAAGCATTTAAGAAAGAGACCGGGCTTCCCAAAACTGTTGTGTAAAGAAGGTGGTCATACTTCCTTTCAGGACAATAAAAAAAAACAGAAGCACAAAACTGCTGTAAACCTTTTTTTTCACTGATGTAATCTAGTACCTCCAGAGGAAGGCTGTGTTTAGTTACTTTAAAAACAAACAAACAAAAAACCCAAACAAAACAAAAATTAAAAAAAACTTTGATCAGTAGTTAAGAAAATTGTTCACTTCAAGTATGTTTAGCTTCTAAAGCTCTAAGGAATTCAAATTTCAGCACTTCCTCATAAAGCAAATAAATAAAAATGGAAAGCAACATAGGCATTTGAGAGGAAAACAATCCCAAATCTCAATGCTTTGTTTGTTTTAGTGTTTCTGCCTGTACAGCAAGTTCAGCTCAAGGACCTATACTACAACAGCAGACAGAGTATTGTATAATAAGTCATCACTAGCCTGGAGATGGAAGGGCAACAATTATTCTAGTTTCCAAAACCAGTACCAAAGCATTGGTATCTCAAAACCCAACTTTCCTAAAGACACCAAACACCATCCCCTCCCAAAGCCTCCATACCATAAGTCTCATCCAACATATTTAGTTGGGGTTTTGCTTTGGATTTTAGAAGGAAAAGAGGAAGACAAAGAATCAAAGAGTAATTGAATGCGTATCAACACAAAAAGCAGGTTTTTAAAGCTATCATAATGCTTTCTTTGATCTTTTGTTCGACTTTCCTTCAGCAAGAAATCTAGTCCTTTTAGTCTCAAAGAAGTCAGAAAAGCTAGAGATACACAGAATACAAATTGACTTGACAGGGTTGCAAGCCCCGCAAGACACAGTAAATCTATTGCTGAACTTCCAGGCATAGACCACACATGGTAATACCACCTGACTGTCAAGAATCCTTCGGAAGTTAAATATTCACTTCCATTAGCTGAACAAAACATTTGCAGTTTCAACTCTTTCCTTAGGCAGTCTCAAGAAAGTTATTTCCTTGACTGTCTGGACAAGGCGCCGTGATAAAGAACGCTGTGCAGAAATCTCTGTGAGCACCTTAAAAGTGTGATTGCTTTTTTATACTCTAAACACAAAGCTGCTCAGTCAAGGATTCCTCACAATGACAGGGCTGGGAAAAGACTGCAGGACACTGTCTCATGATGGCGTGACTACTGTATGTGTACAGTGAGTCCAGATTTCATTGCTACAGCAGTGGCGTGACATGAGCATGAGGAAAAAGAGTGGAGGATACAAATTATGCCTGCGAAGCATCGATGTAATGCATTTCCCTCAAGTGCTGTTGTCTAAAGTACCTCACCACCTTTATTACTGCTTGAAAGGGGAAAAGAGTTTGCAAGAGTCCGATATTCTTCAGGAGCAGTGCTGATTACTCA